AAGACTGAATGCTCACCTTAGCTTGTTTTAACCCAGGATTAGAATAGATATGACTAGAGCCTTTAAATAACAGGAAAGGAAGAATGATTTAAAGTACAGGACAACACTGGCACAAGAAGAAACCCAGTAAACTGGCCAACAGTAATTTTAGGTAGGAAATCTGAAGTTTCTATGGCAACCAGAGAGTAAAGATTACTCAAAGACAAAAAGTTGTTAGTTTTAATATAAAGTTTGACATGTTTATGACAGATCGTGTTCATGGTTGTCATAGCAAGGAACTGGACTCACTGGCTACCTCTGTGTTAGGAATTTAATGGTGCCAGTCTGGCTCTGAGGCTCTCTCACCATGTCCACGCACACAAATTCACTTAACCTCCCGAGCTGGGGCACGGGCATCCTTACTGCCTGCAGAGGAGTCTCTGGGCTAGGCTGAGCTCCAGTCCCTCTACTGCGCCCAGTATCATTTAACCCATGTTACTAGTTCCAGAGATGTTTTCACGTCCCTGCTCATTGTAAAGGGTTGAGAAAACTGATACCATATTGTATAGAACTCCTTAATGAAATCATAGAATCACAGAATCCTTTAGGTTGGAAAAGACCTCTGAGATCATCAAGTCCAACCATTAACCTAGCACTGCCAAGTCTACCACTAAACCCTGTCCCCAAGCACCTCATCTACACATCTTTTAAATACCTCCAGGGATGGTGACTCAACCACTTCGCTTGGCAGCCTGTTCCAATGCCTCACAACTCTCTCAGTGCAGAAATTTTTTCTAATATCCAACCAACATTATTGAGATTTTTACCATTAATGTTCCTATTTTTAAAATGTAAGTAAATTCTGCTTTATGTAGATGTTCAAAAAATACTAAACCTGGGGGGGAAAAAAAAGTGTTCTTTTTAAAATAGAAAATAATTCATTTAAAATTCATCAAGTAATATGCTATTAGATGCTACTATTTGGTCAGAAATCCTACAAATACCTGGCATGAGGACATACATAAACGTATTTTTTCTGTTCTTACCCTGTCTTCATGCAAGAGCAATTAACTACTTTTGGAGAGTGGATAGCAGATTTGACACTGTAGGGCATTGGTAGTTCTTCTTACGGAAAGATATGAAGAATGCAGCTTATAATCTTACAAATACATATTTATTATTATTACTTTATTTTTTTATTTATTATTTTTTTAAATATTATTGGAGGGCACTAAATTATAGGAGAGAATATGGGGACCAGTGTACAGATGATGACAGCACAATGAGTACTTTCCAATGTTTTCCTTTTTAATTATATAGCTGTTACAAAGAGTTGACCAAAGTGGCAAATGAACAATCAGAATTTTACTGCAAATGGCAATAAGAAAATGAAGCAACAGTTTCTTAGCAACAAACTAGAAAATATGCTAAATAATATTTTTTTCCTGCTGAGGTTTGTGTATGCTACGTTCCAAGCATTGTTCTGAAGTAGACATGGATTTTTGTGCATGGTTCTTTTAGAGGAATGTTCTTACAGGTTTGCCTTGACATGGAGGTTTTCTGAAGACTAGCTGTTCACGGACACATTTTTTCTTAGAATAAGAGTGGAATAAGAAATTTTATTTTGCAAGGCTAAGGCACTAGGTGGAACATTAAAGCTGCATTTATAATGGTTTGTTGAGCTGCAGAAATAATAAAATAAAATAAAATAAAACCATTCCCATCAGAAGTTGCTCATTTGGACATGTTGGCAACAGTTGATACAGCTCTGGCTGTCTCTCGGTGGTGGTGAACAGATTGAATCAAATTTCTGCACACTCAGTTTAGGGGTTGAGTCCTGAACAGAACTGTGATTATGCAGTGCATAATTTACATAGTGTACTGTATGAAAGGGCATTTATTATTACTTTTAATATTAAATTAACAGGAAAAAGGGGGAATGACAGGATGAAACATTTAAATTAATTTTGACCTTTAAGGAAACTCTTCATTTTGAAAGGAAATATTCAGCTAAAAAGAAGTCTAAATTAAAAATATGTTAAAGAAAAGCCAAAAAAAGAAAGGGGGGGGGGGGGGGAGGGGGAGTGCTTAAAAAAGTGCTTTGTCCTTTTTTTTTTTTTTAAAAAAAAAAAAATAATCTAAATATATTCTACTGATTTTTTATTATTTTTTTTTTTCCTCTTATTGGTTTGGCCCTTGCATAGGAAATTCTAGCCTTTTAATGGGGAGTACATACACTTTGTCTGAAAGCATTTCTTGGCATGTCCTTCTACATCCTCCAAGCAGTTCTTTCAAATTTCAGCTGACATGGGCATTGCAATGCATGTTGAGACTTCCTGAATTTTCGACTTTTGGGAATAATTTGCTTACAGGTTAATTCTTTGGGAACATGTGACAGGTAAAGAATTGCAACTTTTTCAAAGCAATTGCCAGAATGTAGACACCCAGCTGCTGGGCAGCAAAGGAGAACTGCACACGTATGAAACATGGTAAATCCATACCCCCAAGAGTCTGTGGATTCAGCCAGTGTACTGGAGGAATAGCCACATCCTTCCCACTATCTTGCCTTTGGTTTTAGTCAGAATCTTTATTGCACGTATAGTTTATTGCGGTAGAACACATAAATAACACCATTTCTCTTCTTTCAGTCAGGTATGCATGCTATTGTCCCAGGTGCTCTGCAATTTTTTCCGTCAATGAAGGATTATTTAAAATCAACCCTGTTTTGACTTCACAGGCTTACACAGCTTCTCTGTTAAAATGGAGGTCCCAATTCACTCTGGATTTCACAAAAGCAGTATGAAATAGCACTTCATACTATTACAATAGCTCTGACAAGGTTGAGAATGAAGCTGGAAGTAAAGCTTTATTTGCGAGAAGAGAGCAGTGGAAAAGGGAGGAGCTGAAAGCAGCAGCAGCAGTGGAAGTGAAATCATGCGTGACTTTCATCACAGATGAGAATGAAAGACCATTTGGGAAGAATATGCCCGCAGCTTTACTACTGGGGAGATTAACATATATATGTACTTTTGGAACAAAATATGCAAGCTTTTTCTTTTTTTTTTTTTTTTCCTATCTAAAAAAATTTGTGGGTCAAAAAGAGATAAGTATATTGAATAGTGGCAAGTTAATTCCTTCTTTGATGTTCATTCTGGTCTGGTATTTAATTAACAGAAGTCTCATCTTTATTCTGATTTTCACATTTACAGGATGTTACAAACATATCTAATATAAACATATTTCACATATCTATTGATTTTAAAATTGACAGGAGTTATGCCTGTGTAACGTTGCCTGGACTGAGTTATAAGCACAGCTTTTTAAAGACATTGAGGGGCTTGTTTGCATCATTATAAAAAAGCCTGTTCTTTTGTGGCTTACAAAAAATATATAATATAAATATGAAAAAAACATCCTAATCATAAGGCTAAACTCAACATGCCTCAGTCTTTAGAGCTGACTTTTGAAATACCTCACTTGAAAACTGCAATGAGCTCCTAATTCGAGGAACATGAAAGAAAAGTCTTTGCTCTCGGAAGAACTTTAAGATTCATGAGAACTATTTGCAAGGTGAAATAATCACAAACTGGCTGTGAACAAACTTGTGAAAGGATTTTTCTGACTAAGGTTGGGATTTGAAGATGATTTCCTAATACTTTACCATTGGATGTTTTGGGTATCAGGACTCTGAATTTGAGAACATTTTATTAAACTTGATTTTTTACTTATTTATTTATTTATTTAATTTCTGCCTAGTTACTTAATGACTTTGAGAGGACATTGGTAGCTAATCAATTTCCAGTCTAGTAACTTTCTCTACTTAAAAGGATTATGCAAAAAAGGTTTTCAAAATAGTGTTCCTGGTTGTACACATTGGCTCATCAGAATGTCTTGAAAACACTGACTGTTTCAGTTTTCAGTTACATAACAATTAATTATTTATTTTTTTTGTATGTATTTTGGTTCAGATTTTTGTCTTGGCAATTTTGATGTATGTTTGAAATAATGGAGATGCTTTAATTCTTTGCCGGTTTAGTGGCTTAACTGAGCACAGATCTTGGCCTATCCAATAGAGAGACAAATAACGCACCATTTTTATTTATTTATTTATTTATTTTTCCCAAATAAAAGCTGAGATACCAATCAGAAATGTCAATCAAATTCTTGGCAATGGGCTACATAATATTGTCTAATCCTTACGATTTCTGGAATCATCTTTACCGACAAAACTTGCTGGGTCATGGGTGCTTTTCAAAGCAGCAGGGAAATACTGTGAAGTCCTCGGACAAGCTCTTGTAAAGTATTCACGGTTGTTTGTTTGTTATGAATGTGGTTGTTTGGTTGTTTCCATTGCAGTAATTGCAAAGGCCAGTGTCTCAAAGCCCAGAGAACTCCCTGGCTAGGTTAAGCCAGGTGCGGTTGTGTTTGTTGATTCTCACCCTGCATGTGTTCTGCTTCACTAGCCCACCCCAAACACGTTGTTATATAAAATTCTTCAGAAAGGTAGCATTTCCATGTCTATTTGTTCATCCTTCAGGGGTGACAGTGGCATACCTTTATTGTGAAACACTCTCCCTTATACCCCCAATGCACCTTTTTGAGGTAGGCTAAGTCCTATGGCTCCCAAGGCATAACTGCATGCCTCAGGAAGGGCTCCTGTAGCAGGGCTGAGGAAAAGGACAGCAAAAATGAGGAATAAGAAGTTACAAAGAGTGGAAATGATGTCTTTGTTGCAGGTTCACAGTTCCCTGATAAGTATGTCAAAGGTTTCTTTTCATCTTCCCCCTTTAAATGAAATTAATTTGAAAGCATTCACTGGGGGAGGACTCCGCTTTGGGCATTTCACATTACATGCAGAATTTTTACAGCTTTCTCCCGTATCCTTCTCCTTCCAAGCACTTCGGAGGCGAGGCACGGCCGAGCACACCTGGCCGGGGGCGGGCGGTGCGAGGGGGGGCTCCCGGCCCGCAGGCGTGACGGGGGAGGCCGCGCTGGCGGCGGGGACCCCCGGGGAGGGGACGGGGGACGGGGACGGGAACAAGCCCCCGGTGTCTGAGCGCTGAGGGGGCCGGGGCTGCCATCGCGCTACGCCCCCTCCTCGCGTTCAGACGCTGCAGTTTTGCCCCGCGGAGGCCGCTGTGGCGCCGCGTTGCCCCGGCGACCGGCTCGGCGGGGCTGTCCCGGCCCGCTGCCGGCCCGGCCGGGGAAAGTTTCCCGTCGGGGGCCGGGCCCGGCGGGGCACCGGGCGCTGCCGCAGTGTGCGCGCTGAGGCCGGGCTCCGGGCGGGCGGCGGCGGCGGGCGCGGCGCGGCCGCTCCTCGGGGGCGTTGCGCGGTGCCGGCCCTTCCTCCGCCAGCCGCCGGGGGAGCGGCGCCTCGCCGGAGGCTCTCGGCGGTGCGTGCACCCGATGGTCTTCTTCGCCAGGATGGATTTTAGCCAGGGCAATCTCTTTGGATACATAGAAGACCTGCAGGAGCTAACTATTATAGAGAGGCCGGTCCGCAGGAGTCTGAAGGTATCCGCGCCGAGGGGAACGGTGCTTTCCGAGCCGCGTGAAATCGCCTCTGCTTGGGCTGGTGCCCGGCTGCCCGAGCGGGCGGGCTGCTTGCACGGCACCCGGTGGTAAAGCCTGCTTGCCTTCCTCCTGCAATAAACAGCCCCGAATCCCATGCAGCAGGGACTTTGTGTTTGCAGCTTAACAGTCTTATTCTGGGGAAAAAAAAATAGACTAACTTAAGTCTTTATATTAATTTACATGCGACTTGTTTATACTTCCCTTTCAGTGATTAATTGCGGTAGTGCCTGGCATGGAGCTGTACTTTCATTACCTCCCAGCTTTTCCCGGGGAACCATTTATTTGACTCAATTTGAAGCTGGAGATTTCAAGGATTAGATTTAAATTACTCTTGGAGCTGCCCCTGGATGTGGGGAGGAAGGGGTTGCTTTAAGGAGATTAAAATGAGGAAATAGTAAGGCATTGTAAACTCATAATCTCTGTTTCACGCTTGACAGACGCCAGAAGAAATAGAAAGACTGACAGTTGATGAAGAACTCAATGATATTGAAAGGGCTGTTTACCTCCTCAGGTATTTAATAAAATGTTGCTGTCAAACATTACTGACCTTCATGATGATGTATAGCTTTTTTTTTTTTAGTGTATTTACTCTTCGCTCCTTTTATTTTCTGTCTTGCAGTAGTAGTTTTTACTTTCTTCTACGTTGAATGTATAAACAAGATAAAAATAGGTACTGTATTTTTTTCTTTTACGTTGCATAAATAGGCTGCCTGTGTAGATGTATCAACGTTTCCGAGTTTCTAATATGGCCCTCACCAACAGAGTAGTACTTCATCTTCTTTTCCCCTGCAGCTGATTTTGCAAGATACCCTGAGTGTTAACATCAATAATGCCAATCGTTCGATGCCTTCGTATCTGCTCTAAGGCATGAGCAGTTACCACACACTGGTAGCAGAGCTATTTGAGCATACTTTGTAAACTGGGCTTTCTGAGGCGAATACAAAACTGATCTCTCAAGTTGTCTGTAGGAAATACTGTTGAAGATACTATATTAATGCTTTCCTGCGTTCTGGTTTTTAGTTTTACCTCCTCCTTGTTCTTTAAAATATTTATCTGCAGTTACTGGAATAACTTAAAGATTGATAGTTAAAATACAGATCTCTTTCAACTATTGTGTAAGTCATCTTTGAGAGTACAAGTATTCTGAAGGATTTTGATTTGCATATTCATTTTTAAACAATACCTAGTAATTGGAGAAACAGCTGCAGATTCCTCACAGTTTGCTTATTCTGCTATTTTAAGTGCTCTTCTAGTCTATTACTGTCCTCAGTGTTTAGAGTATGTATTCCCAGTGCCTTAATTTTCCCTTCTTGGGGTCTGTGCAATTATTTTTAGTTAAGTATTTCTTTGTCCACTAATACTTCTGTAGAAAAAAAAAATATATATATATATTATATTTTATATATATATATATATAATGCTAAACCTTATTAAATACTGGATTTAAAAACTTTTGCAAGTAGTAGCTGTAATCAGAGTAGTCTGTTGACTCTAGGGAAATTCAAAAGAAACAGTTTGCATGTGGTGTATATCGTTGGAAAGATGTACATCAATTTCATTTTTTACTTCACAGCAGGCAGCATGGTTGACTTCCCCCTAGCCCCATGGCAGCAAATTTCTTTGTTCTTTCTGCTCTTTTCTCAATTAAAGATCATGTTTCTAGCAATATGTCATTACTGGATCATTGCCTTGTTAAAGGGTAAAAGGTTCTACTCCACGTCTTTGATCTTACTAATTGCTTTTCAACCTGGCCTTGAACTTCTCTTGACATCTTCATCTGCTTTCTCTCTACTTGAACAGCTGTTCTGGAAACATAATATTCATTCTCTCGTGCTGAAGTTTTCGTTTTTGCCTTTGCATTGTCTTTTATTGCTGAAAGGTAGCTTCATCTCTGCTTGGTAAGCTTTTTGTAAGGCAATCGCTTGCTGTGATTGTCCAGGTATGTTAATACTCTAATCCAATGGAAGCTTTTTGCTTTATATTGCCTTTCCTGTATCAAGTAGGGCATAATCAGAGTTGAAAAGCTGCATGTAACACAAGTAGTATCCTTTATGTAATGCACAAAGGTATATATTTTTGGCTTGTCTGGTATTTTTTTCATCTATTATAATACAATATCTTTGCCTGTTCCTGTTTAACAGCAATATCAGTCTGGTCTTTTCATGCCTCATTTTATCACACAGATGCATTATTTGCTTTCGTTCAGGTTGTCCCTTATGTGGGACTCTCCTTGATGTTATCCATTAAGCCTCTGCCATTTCTGAAAATCCCCCTGGAAAACTTCCTTTAGTGAAATTGAAATGAATTGTTAATGATTTATGTGTTGTGCTCCATTTGGAGAGGATGATGCCAAATCCATATACTTAACAAAACCCCAAAACAAACAAACAAAAATACCCTGCAAGAGCAGTAATAGAAAGTAAATTTGTTACCTTCTTTATCTACAAGTAGCACTGAAATATTTAATGTTGTGGCACATTCATATTTATGTTGTCACTTATTTATATAACTCTAATCTGCGATCTGGGGATGTTTAATTTACTGAGGGGGATACCTTTAAAGCAGTGTTTCTTGTACAGCACAGTGGAGCTGAATAATAGAGTGAAGCCTTTGTATGATACAGCAAAGCTAATGCTTAGTAATTAATTCCTGTGGAAGTCCAAAAAGAGTATTCATGTTGTAATGGCTCTCATTCTAAACAGGAAAACCAAACCAAAACAACAACAACAAAACAGCCACTTTCTGTTCATTTGCTAGCCTCTTTTCCCTCCAAAACTCACTTCCAGCTTTTCCTTCCCACCCTGGAACTTGGATGCTCTGGGCTGCTTGTATGCAGAGCTGTTCTACGTTTAGTAGAAACCCCATCCCCAACCCCCGTTAGATATCTGCTTCTGAAACCTTACAATGGTAGTCTGAAAATAAATGTGTTGACATTTGAGTTGGAGAGAACAGCACAGCCTTTTACTCTCTGAGGTTTTTAGTACCTGAATAATGCGTGTTTGTGTTTTTTTGACTGATTCTTGCTCTACTGTGTATGTGAGGAGGTGCTCGTTTCACAGCTCTCATATCAGTTTCATCAGTTTGTTCTTTTTGTCTCTTCTGTTACTTCTCATTTGACAGTGGTACTACGGATTGCTCCTTGGTTGGGCTTATCGTGTAGCAACAGAAACAGTTGTGCAAGCCAAAGGAACGGGTTCAGTAGCTCTCTTGGTGGCTGGAGTCACTTCAGTATGACCTAAGCATGGGTGAACTGCAGCTTCAGACTGTTGCTGCTCAGAGTACTCAATTTTAATTAGGTAACGTTCTGCAGTGAGACTGATCAAGTTCTAACGTAATAAGAATGTCACTTGTTGTAATCTCAATTAACCTGAATTCTGGTTGAGGAACTGGACTTCTTTAGACCAGGCTGTCAGATGTCTATGAACTTACCATTGAAATCAAATGGATTTGAGTGCCTGATAGAGGGAGAGGCATCTAAATGCCAAGGAACTAGGTTTTAGAGCTTTAGCCTGAATGCTTGGTGTTCTGCTGGGTTACACCAGAGTTGTATTCTGAATGTGTTTTCAACATTGCTGTCCCTACAGAAGAGCCAAGAGAGTAGAACAGCCATGTTTATCTCATCCATGTCAGCGTCAAGACTGATGGCTTATCATAGAAAAACATCAGCAGATCAAGACAAGCTGCTAGACTTTGCACTGAAGCAACTGAATGCTGTGCATTGCGCTGACTCTTTGGGGCATCGTGACCTGTGCCAGGAGAGTGACAATAAGCAGCTCAGGGACATCAATTTTTATTCATGCTATGAACCTTTGCCTGTAGTTTCCATGATTGCTGATGTTTAGTGTCAGCACTTACTCTCAGTTGTCTTACTGTAACTTACCCTTTTATGGCATAAAGCCAATAGATAAGTATGTATTGTTTGTCTGATGTGAATTTAGTTTGGATTCAGGGATATTTACTAGCATGCACACTGTATAGTGGTTTGTTTTCTGAAGGCTTTTCTGATAGCTTTCCCTAGGGGGTTTTGCATTGTTGTGTGTATTGTATTATTTTGTATTCAGCTACTTTTTGTTTATTTGTGCCTGCTTAGTGTTAAAGCTTACAGGCCTTGACATTTCTGTCACACTCAAAATAACAGGGTAATAATGAGTTATCAAGGTGGAAGACTGAATTATTCACCCTTTTGGGAACATACTGTACTTTGGTTTTGGAGTAAATCTATCTCCCAGTTCAGAAAACAATACAGTCCCCCTCCAAAACCTTTAACACAGTTTTTGACAATAGAATAGATACTCTATCTAGATCGGAAAGAATTCAGTGCTTATAAACCTACTGCTTTTCTATTAAAAAAAAAAAAAGAAAAAGTTGTACTTTATTGTGGCCATCTTTGGTTAGCTAGAGTATTCTTAAATTCTAAAAGTCTCTTTACACCTTATACATTGTTAACTGTGAGCATCAAAACAACTAGCTAGTAATTTAGAGACTTTTGTTTTATTATTTTTTTCCTTTCGTTGGTAGTCTTCATGGTATTAGTTTCTGAAGTTTTATTTTCTCTGTAGGGGTAAGCAACTTGGCTTTTGAATTCAGGTAAAGCTTCCCTTTAAATATAACTCTAGTAGTTGATTTTCAAAAGTGAGCATTGTTTAATATAACAGATTATACAGCTTCAGAATTTATGGTCCTGTTGCCTAGATAGTGTACTGAAGGATCCAACTGTCATCTTAAGCGTGTTGGAAAATAATTCTTCCAACTATACCTGCAAGCTGTATTCTTCAGTCTTTATTGAATTATTCCCAGGGTAATAATGTCTTGTTTTTAATTACAATTTATATTATATAGAAGTTTCACTCTCGATTCACTTAGTTGGATGGATAAATTAATTGCATGACCTTGACTCTGTTATGCAAATAAATTCATGTATATGTAGTAGATATTTTTGCTTCCTTAAAGTGAAAAGTGTAGATGTATTCTTCTGAAACAATGTTAAGTCACATGCTTTTATTAAAATTTAGATGTGTGCAAATACTTCTGTTGATCACACTTGATGATTTGAAACTACAGCTAAGGAAGCAGCTGGAAACGTACACAGTATAGGTTAGTAATGTGTTCAGAGAAACCCCAAAAACGATCAAACAAAAGCAAACAAAAGAGAAAAATCTGTTTCATTTTTCTTGCATCTTTCAGGCTGCAGTCAATGCAGGAAGATGTTATTGCCAATTGTTTCCCTGTTCTAGCCCTTGTTCTCCCTCACAAGCACATTGGGGAATTTACCTGAGCCAAACCATGAAAGTAATGGTTAGCTTTAAAACAGATCACTTCAGTCATCCAGTACTTTGTGCACCAGAAAAAAAGACACAAGAGAAGTGGGGAGCAGAATGGGAGTAAGGCTCTACAGCAGATGAAATGGCTTTGAGACTTAGCAGTAGATTTGGTTGGTTTATGGTATTAATGAAGGTAAAGTTTCATGATATAGTTTCATGGTGAAGTTAAGCTGGATGAAGCTCTTGCCAT